CATTCCCTAGAGTATCATTTCTTTGTTTAGCGTGGGCGCAATGTTTTCCCATTTCAGACCACGTGTCATTCCCTAGAGTATCATTTCTTTGTTTAATGGTTGCACATGAGAAGACACATAAATATGGTTAAAACTCAAACAAAGAATCTTATTCTCAAGAGAATTACAAATGGTCTGAAATGGGAAAACGGCGTGCTCAAGTTAAAAAGGTATATTGATAGGAATGCAGGAGGGAAGGAAAGGAAAGGAAAATAGGAAAAAGCATTTCCATCCAAAATAACTTAATAATTTGTAAAGAAAAAACGTGTTGCTCTGCTGTGTACAACATAGAGCACTTGGGGATTGGCAGAACATCCCAGACGTTCGTTACATGTTGTTTTTTCCCTAACACTTCTCTCTTGTTCTGCCAATCCCGTGATTTTTGCGCGTTGCCTAGTATTTAGCATATGTAATAGGACTCCATGTTGTCCAATTAAGAAATAATTAATGGGATTAATGAGAAGCTGTATAATTACTTCTTTTATAAAAGAAAAATTCATATCAACAAACCTGATTGTCATTAGTTTTTGACAGAGCGTTAGCCAGGTACGTTATGCCTTTGTGTGAGATACCATTAGATCGTAGGTCCAGAACAGATAAATTCGGTAAGGTGGATAGGGAAGCTGCAATGTGCTGCACGCCAGAATCTCCTAGGATACCAATAACATAGCAATGTAGATAAAGCATAACATGAATTTTTGACATTTGTAAAATACTGTTGTGCTTCTTGACTTGTTGAATCTTCTACTCAGGATAAGCTTTATTTCAGACCAAAATATTCTCAAACACATCCCAGGCTCTGATCTTCCAAGAGGTTGCTTTGGGATATTGTTAATTTTAAGAGGTTTGAAAGTTAAAGGTTAGCTTTGCGATGACAATTCATTGAACATGTCAAAAAACAATGCTACATTGGAAGCTGCAGAGCCAACGTTGTCCATATTATTACTCCGTGTGCAACAATTTTCTTTGTTAAAAGGAATTAAGGGATCCTCTACTGTTGCAGCCTGTAGTCCATCAAGTTGTTGATATTCAAGAAATATAAAACGGCTGTCTCTGTACTGTGATGTAAACGCGCTGGGAGCTGTAGAGCAAGAGAGGAGCAAGCTCAGGAATACGAGACGTGGCTTTTCAAGACCTCTACAGCTCCCCAAGTGTTTATATCATAGTACAGACATAAGCAACTGTTATATTGCTTTTATGAAATATTTTCGAATGATTTTGCGCGAGCGTCTCTCTATTCTCTGATATAAACACGGTAGCCAGCCAATCAGCACGCTCGCATAGTGCTAGTTGGTGTTTACAAACATTAGCATTGCGATATTAGTTTGCCAACCATTATCACAATAGTTCTTGCCAAGTTTCTTTATTTCATCAGTGAATCGATCTCTGGTTGGCATTTAACAAATAGACATCAGTTTTTTATGTGTCTGTCCTGTTATTGACAATAATTTTTGTCATCACATTGTCAAAGTAGTGTGGATCCACGAGGCATAGCCGATAAAAACTTCTCATTTTTAGCGATGAAAACAACCAACGGAAAGAGCACGCGCTCGTTGACGTCAGCTTTATCTGTCTGTCCTCTTATTGATGATAAAAAATAAGCAATCAGCGCACGAGCAATTTGCAAGTGTTTGTAAAAATAGGTGTGAATATAGTTTAGGTCACAGCGACTAGTGCTAGAGTAGTTTTCGTATGACTGTGAAAAGCTCATGGCACGAACATGGTCTTGACACGGCAAGGGATACGCCAGACCAATCACATTGCACGAAAATTTACTCTGCATCCAATCAAATGCCCGTAACTCGGGGTGGACACAGACACAGTCACGCCAATGTCATAGCACTACCAGACCAATCACGTTGTGCGAGAGAGCAATCACCATTAAAAATTTAGAAAACATCACGGTCACGGCAGAACACGCTAATGGCTCTGAGCTTTTTACAGTCATGCGAAAACTACTCTTTAGAAGTTTTGCATAATCACGTGACGGCAGCCATGTTAGATGGCAGGAACAATACAATCGTTTTACATGAGAAAGAATTCAATTCCTGAGAGCAAAGGGATGTTATTGTTCTGCCATCCAACTACAGGCATCCCAAGCAGGATTATAGGCGTGGGCTCGTAGTGTGCGTTCTATTACATACCTATCTTGTTTCCAGGTAAGATTAACTTGACCAGCCTATCATGACACTGCAGTGCTCTGGCCAGCGGTAGCACATGGTAGTCTTGGAGGGCCAGGTTACCTAGGGAGATGACTGAGATCTGTGGTTCGGCCTGGAGAAGCGCTTGAATATCTTTTTTGATTTCTGAAGACGAAGAGGAAGAAATTTTATATCAATTTTTATTATTTCTTAATCAAAATTATCCTACATACAAAGGGAAATACGAAAAAAAATTGCAGAAATATGCCCAATTTGTCTACTTTGTGATATTGGCGTAATGTTTAACCATATTTTCAGACTGCGTGTCATTCCCTAGATTATCATTTCTTTGTTTAACGGTTGCACTCGAGAAGACACATGAATATTGATACAACTCAAACAAAGAATCTTATTCTCAAGAGAATGAAATATGGTTTGAAATGGGAAAACGAATAGACCCCCTTGCATGTGACTTCAAAGCAGCTCAATTTGAGGACAAAAAAACATAATTTTTATCCCATTGGAATTGGAAACCTTTTGTTATGCTTTGCCATCGACTTGCATTCCGACGTGCTGTAAGGTCTATTAGGTCTATTCCATGGAGACTAAGTGTGATTTCTCTTGTGTTTTCCTGTTAGTCTCGCATCCAAGATCATTCCAAAGACTGGTTCACGCGAGTAAAAAGTAATGTTCGAACGAACACACGTGAACCGCAAATACGAGCGAATTAAGTAGCGCGCACTTGTTTATATCAAAAACATTTTAGGTTCAAAAATGGCAATTTAAAAAAATTGGGTAAATATCACATTTTCAAACAAAAAAATATCCAAAGGATACATACTTATACTCATGGAAAAGAACAGTCATTTTCACAAACTTTATCGTGCATTAATGACAAATATTTACTTACAATATAGCTAGCCTAACTGCAGTGGTCTCAATAGCGAGTACAGAATAATAATTGCTTATGAGACACAAACAAATCCCAAATTTTTGTGATAACCGAGTTCGATAATCGTTTTACCATTCAAATTATTTTTCCGTTTTCTTTTCGTGCTGGTTGTTTGCTATCTACCAAAGATACCAAGTAACGGGGAAGAGAGCCATGTTGACAAATGCATCGTTACTGCGCATGAGCAGAATATTATTTGCAGGTAGTTATTTGCAGTTATCTCGCCCAATCAAAACGATGGGAAAAATATTTGAATGATATTTTAATTTGCCGTCGCAAGAAATAGGGTTTCTGGGACCCTCAATCAAAGTGTTTCCATGACGTTGTCAGTAAACACAACATTTTCAAGGGCACGTGCCTATGGAACGTCATGGAAACGCCTTGAATGACGTCCACCAAAACTCTACTTTGTCCAGACGACGATTCCTTGGAAGCTAGAGCCTGGTTCACACAAGCAATGGAAATGCTTGCGTTTTCATTTGCGTTTGCGTCTGTACCGTAACTGGGTAAAACACAAACGTGAGCAAATTTACATGTGAACTACAGTAAGGCAAACACAAAAGCAAAAATGTTTTTGACGTAAATAAGCACTACTGCGCTTGCGTACCTTAATTCGTTTGCGTTTCACGTGCGAACATTGTTTGCGCTTGTGTTTTCGTTGATCGTGTTATTAATTAAGGCGCGATTACAGAAGGCAATTTTCTCTGCAACTGCGTTGCGTGTAACCTGCACTGCGATTTGAAAACATGTTGCGAGACAAGTTGCAGTAATAGTTGCGAAAAGTTAAATTTCGTTTCTACTTTTAGTAAAGGCGCCATTACACCAAACAATTCTCTCTGCAACTTGTCTCATGAGTTACACGAGTTTTTACACGGAGACGTAAACAATTGCTGCACCTTTTTCAAATTGCGCTGTAGGTTACACGCTGCAATGCTCCATGCAACTTGTGTCGCAACACCGTTGCGAGACAAGTTGCAGAGAAAAATCCTCTGTGTTTCGCGCCTTCAGGTTTTATTATCAGCACCTACCACAGTTATTACTGATGCAGGCAGTTTTATATCTCTCAGCGACAGGAGGAAGATCCCATGATTCCACTGAAGCTACTATCTGTTCGTTATTTGACAACACGTCAGATATTTTATCTTCAGGAGAGAGAAAGGCTCCTTCACTCGTCTGGAGCGCGAGTACTGGACGAAGACCAAATGCCGAGAAGTAACGCAGCTTCGCCTTTGAAGATAATAGAATACTTAACAATGAGTTGGGATGGTTAAATTTTAAAAGCATAAATTTAGCGCGCGTTTTTGTGGGATTTTTCTCTCAGACCGTGAAATGGTTAGTAGACTTATTAGCGATTAGTCCTCGAGCACGAATGGGCTATTGACTCACAGGCCACAAGGACGAGAGGACTAATTGTTTTAGTCAAATCCAACTAGAAAGAAGAAAGTCAGTAGCAGCAGGATGGAATGCTTTGCAAGCCACGGGCGGTGTTGCATTTTGGACAGTTCCACCCAAAACAACAGATACTTAGTCTAGTAAGAATGGTGTTACCTGTTCAGATAGCCATGCCATAGTCTTGCGCTCTTGATCGTTCTTCTCTGGACAGGGAATCAAGAACGTCTTGCCTTGGATCTGGACCCTAATTCGCATCGGAGGGGCTCCTCCAGGTGTACTCGCACTAGAGGTCTGACGTACCGCACTGTCCCCTTGTGATGACGTCCCTAAAGAATGTCCCTGGAAGAGAGTGTTTGAGGACTGCTGTGAAACAGGAGAAGAGCTAAAATATGTAGGGCTAGGAGTTCTTCGCACTTCAAGGCGAGTTTGTTTCGGTCTTGACGGTTTTTTCGAGATGTTACTGGTATTTTTACTCCGTGAGCTTTTACTGTTGTACGTCGAAGGACCTCTACGAGAGAGTGCTAACGAAGTGCTGAGAGTTGCTTGTTTATTGGTGCGACGTCGTTTGGTAGGGCGCTCAGGCATATCGTTAATCAGCCAATCAGAGTCTTCAGAAGCGGACTCAATTGCGGAAGTAGAGCCCAGGTCCCTCTCTGATACCAAAGCAGTGGTTTGTCTGGAAGAGTTCGCGTCTAGACGTTTACCAGAAATGGTATCAAGATAAGACGAGGTATTATGGTGATCCCTTGAATGCCAATCAGTGGAGATATCTTGGCTATCATCAATCGATATTCTTTCGGAATCCGACGAACGTCTCGTCGGCTGTTTGTCGTGATTGAAGTCATTGTCTACGGAAAAATAAGGTGACTCGTCTTCTAACCCTTCACTGCTAATATCCCCATCTTCACTGACTGATTCAACTTCAACATCACTTTCCACATTAGTTTCCAAGTAGTTCTTTTCTCGCAATGCGATTTTCGATGACGTCCCCTGAGAAAAATCGCTCACAGGATCGTGGACAGATCGGGATTCTGTAATCTTTGAAGTAGGTGGACCCCTGACAACATCGTCATCATCGTCATCATCATCATCATCGTCACCATCATCATCGTCATCATCATCATCATTATTATTATCATCAAAGTTGTCCAAAAATAACCTGTTTCTCCTTCTCATTTCTGGCTGCTTCTTCTCAGTTCTGTTTAAAGATGTACCACCAAGTGAAATTTTTTTCAGATAATTGACAACTTGTCTTCTTCCAGCAGCTGCCTCGGTTTCACAGCCGATGAGGTCACGGTCTTCTTCTGATTCTTGTGCTGATAATACTGCATCTAGTGGTGTATTACCCTAAAAGGTAAAGAAAACAGGAGTATGACAATAACGATGATGGTGATGATGGAGATAGAAGAACAGAGAATGACAATAACGATGAAGGTGATGATGGAGATAGAAGAACAGAGAATGACAATAACGATGATAGTGATTATGAAGATAG